AAAAAAAAAAAAAAGGAAAAAAAAAGAATTTACTGATACTGGGCACAGTGCCTCAGGCTATAATCCCAGCACTTTGGGAGGCTGAGGAGGAAAGATCATTTGAAGCCAGGAGTTTGAGACAAGCCTGGGCAACTTAGTGAGACCCTATCTCTACAAAAAAAATTTAAAAAATTATCTGGGCATGGTGGCTTATGCCTGTAGTGTCCCAGCTATTTGGGAGGCTGAGGCGGAAGGATCACCTGAGCCCAGGAATTTGAGGCTTCAATGAGCTATGATGATGCCACTGCACTCCAGCCTGGGTGACAGAGTGAGACTCTGTGTCTCTTCAACAACAACAACAACAACAACAACAACAACAACATATTTACTGAGTCAGCAATTTAAAGTGTTCATCTAAATTAATTGTATCATGTTAATATATTCCATACAATTTTATTTCTGGTCTTGAAATTGATGAGGTCAAATGAAATTAAAAAGTTATATTAAGCCTGTTTGTTTCAGATTTTATCAGGAGAACAGATCAGTGAAGGACAGGAATTGTAAGTTATTGGTATTAAGGAAGTATGGGATTGTTGCTACCTTAATGTTATTAATAGTATTAACAATAACTCACATTTATTAGGGCTTACTGTGTACCAGATACTTATTCTAGGCACTTCACAAATACTACCTCATTTTAACCTCAGAACAACCCTAATATTCCCATTCTACAGATGAGGAAACACAGAGGAGTTATTTACCTAATAGCACACTGATGATAAGTGGCTGGCTGGCTCTGCAGCCTACCCTCTTCACCATCACGCCAGTATTACTTGCATAAGATTTCCGCAGTGGGTAGTTGCTGGTTCCTGCTATTTGGATGCCACATGGCACACTTGCCACTGTCAGAGCCTCTGCTCCTTTTGACCTAGGACAGACTGTGTGGATAGAGAGTGATCACACCATTGAGCAGGCCTGAGAAACACTGTTCCTGTGGAGAAAGACGTGCGAGTTGCTAAGTGGAAGCTGCCTCAGTTAATGGCATGAGAGATGCTCAGTTCGGGACCAAAGAGATCAGATCAGAATAAGCACCATTGTGTTTGTCCTCTGCAGAGCTGTTTTTTGTATATGCCTCCACTTCAGAGGAACTTGGTTTCCTATGATGAAGCTAAAAATACTTTCAAAATCCCAATTAGGTCATCAGTGCTTCTGAGAAAATATGGTCCCTATATATCCCTCAGTTCCCAAGATGCTGCTAATGTGGTTATTCAGACTCATCAACCTCTTCGAGTCTTTTTGTTTTTCCTCTAATTGTAAATATACAGATTCATATAGAAACATAAAATACTAGTCATCAAAAAGCAAAGTCACTTCTCATCCCTTTCTTCTCCATCTCTTTAAATATTTACTGTTAACTTTTTGGTTTGTGTTTTAGCCTTTATGTATAGAGATAAAGATGCAGATGTTAATATGTGCATCTTTATACATCTATAAACACATTTTGTGTATGGAAGGAGAATGCTCACACTGTTTTATAACTTTTTTCCCCCAAAAATTACTAGTATATTTACAAATCAATGGATTTTATCCTATGTCATCATTTTCATAGCTGTATGCTATTCCACTATATGGATAGACCATACTTTTATTCAGTCAGTCTCCTATTGTTAGATACTCTGTTTCCAGCTTTTTTATTGTGAACAATGTTATGATAGACATCCTTGTTACATATATCTCACTGCTTCTGCTTAATCATTCTTCATAGTAAATTCCTAGAAGTGGAATTACTGGGTGAAACATATTCATATTTTAAGACTTTTGACAGATTTTTCCATACTGTTTTATTTATACTCACACCAGTACAATAGTGTCCCTTTGCCTGGGTTTTAATTCTTTTTTTTTCTTTTGAGACAGAGTCTTGGTCTGTTGCCCGGGCTAGAGTGCCATGGCGTCAGCCTAGCTCACAGCAACCTCAAACTCCTGGGCTCAAGCGATACTCCTGCCTCAGCCCCCCGAGTAGCTGGGACTACAGGCATGCGCCACCATGCCCGGCTAATTTTCATATATATATATTTTTAGTTTTCCAGATCGTTTCTTTCTATTTTTAGTAGAGACGGGGGTCTCGCTCTTGCTCAGGCTGGTCTCGAACTGCTGACCTTGAGAGATCCACCCGCCTCGGCCTCCCAGAGTGCTAGGATTACAGGCATGAGCCACCGCGCCCGGCCTAATCATAGGGAATGTATTTTACCTTCTAGATACTAACTTGGTATAGGTTGGTATTGGAGTTGGTTTTGTGGGTGGTATTTATTTATTTTAAATCTCATTCTGCTTATTAGCAACTCTGCTTTAGCATGTGAATTTATCTGAGCAGAATAGGAAAAAAATGCAACTGATTTGAATTTAAGATGACTGATGACAGCAGCATTATGCACTTGATTATCAACTCTTTGCTGTCACTGTCCATGGAGGGAAGCAGTAGCACAGATAATTAAATCTTTTGTTCGACTTTGGACTGCCTCGTCATATGCTGGCAACCTTATATCTTGCTTATATTACTCCTAAAGATCAAGTTGCTTTCATTTCACTTATAGTGGGCAAGGAAAAGCCAACCTTAAGAACAGTGTTTCCGTGGATTACTCATAAGACTATGAGTGGTTGCTGGGAGCCAAAGGTTGTGATTCTTTGGGCATAGGTATCATTACATGGAGGTAACAGAGTCTCTACAGGTGAGAATGGCTGCTTATTGATCATCAGGTCAGAATTAGCAGCTGCGTTTTGAAAGAAATCACAGATGCTTTTCTAGCTTTTAATCTGCATTTTACTGTGAGGCATTTGCCTTTATGTTCTTAATTACCTTCACTGAAAGTGATAGCCTTTATGAAAGTGTTAAAAATGAGACAAAAGAAATGTTATTGCATTAAAAAAGAAAAAAGTATATGTATTAAAAATATAGACAACCTCTATCCACCTTTCTTAGAGCTTAGCAATGCTATTCTGTAATGACTGTTACTTTTTAGCTCTTGGAGGTCCCAGGGGTTGAGACTAAAGCATGGGCCCTAAGAGGGGATATTATTTGCCACCAAACATCTATTCCACGCATCTCACACCGGAACTGCGCTTTAGTGTGTAGGAGCATCACTTGGGTCCCACCTTTCAGAGATTCCCTGACTCAGTAAATCTTGGGAGATATAAGAATCTGCATTTTTAACAAGCCATCTAAGTTATTCTAACAAGGAAGGTCTAGGCTTTAAGAAATGCCAGTGGATGGAATGGGAGTTAGGAGATGGGGTGGGAGAGTCAGGTTGGGGGAATGCTGCCAGAAGGGAGAGGGGCAGGAAGGGGCGAGGACAGGAGACAGGAAGTAAGGGGAGTTCTGGAAAGGAAGTGAAATGTACCAAAGACAAAATATCTGTTCTTCAGGTTTGCCTAAGGCTTTGATGGGTGGAGGTGTTACGTGGGAGGTGATTTCTGTTTTTGCTGCCTTTGGCATGGTGCAAAGGTTGTGGGTGCCTTGAATAAAAGTATCTGGGCTATTTCAAAGTGTGCAAAGGTCAGTCTCCACTTCAGCCCAACCTCCCTTCTCTATGACAGGCTCTAGCTTAGCACAGTATCATCCAGTCCGCTCTGGAGTCCAGCAGTAGAAGGGGGGGGAAAGAAGAAAGTTGTGTATTTGCTAACCTGCCACATCGATGGTACCCTGCTAATTTTCCCTTTCTGCCCTGAATGCTTATGATGGCCAGGCGTCTTTTACATGGAGGCAAAAATGGAAGTGGTGGGAGAAAATGAGATTTCCCTGAGAGAGGGCAAAAAGAAGAGGCCTGGACATTCAAACATTGAGTCAGGCAGTATTTACTGCATGTCTGCTGTGTGCAGGGCACCATGTTGGCCTTGAGGATACGGAGGGGAGCAAGATTGGCATTGTCGTTGCCCTTATAAAGTTTTCAGTGTGGTAGGGGACATGGACACCATACAGCTAGTTTTACAACTAATTATTCAATTAAAATTGTGATAGTTATGATAAAGACCTCAAAGGAAGCATATCAGGTGCTATAGGATTATTTAAAAGGTGGTTTTGCCTCACTTGAGGGGACGAACTTTAGGGGCAAAAGGAAGGAAAGCTAGTGGAAAAACGGTGTAGCAGCCAAAGAGCTAGATGAAGAAACAGATTTGTGGTACGTTACAGAAACCAAGGTTGGAGGGATTTCAAGAGCAAGTTTGTGGTCATCAAAGTTGAATGCTGCAGAGATGTAAAGGAAGATGAGGCCTGAGACTGGTTTGCTGCATATGGTGATTAAAACTGTTGTAGAAAAGTTCCGGGATTAAGAGGGCTAAACACCTAGATCACAGGTAGTTAAAAAACAAGAGGGTGGTGAAATCCGCGGTAGTATAATAGAGCTCTTCTACTCCCTTTTTGGCCTTGTAATGTTCTGGTTGTATTTGCCTTGGCTCCCCAACTAGATTGACAACTCCCTGAAGGTTACGATGACAAACCTAGCCCCTAGCACTGTATCAGCATGTAGCGTTAGAGTCACAGCTAAAGATCTAAGACCTTGGATCTGGTGCTGGTTCTGCCTCCCAGAAGCCGTGTATGTTGTGTGTGATCATCTGTTTCTTCATCTCTAAAATGGTGATATTCCTAACTTCCCTGTCATATGGGCCATTGAAAGGATCAAATAGGGCAATATATGGAAATAGGCTTTGTGAAATGAAAATTCGTGTTCTATGGAAGATACTGATAATGTTCAGTGAATGAAAATAGATACTTAGGAATTTTTGTGATCAGTTTTTTGTTTGTTTTAGATTTGTTCCTTATATTGGAATTGTGACAATCCTCATGAATGACTATCCTAAATTTAAGGTAAGAGCCTGTACTATATGTTTCATTAAAAGTGTGGTATTTGGCTTAATTTTGGAAGCCATTAAATGGATTATAGTTAAAAGGTGAAAGAATAATTGGATGGTTTAGTAACTTATGGTCAAAGAGGCCAGTTTATTAATTAACTCTGAGGACTTGTGAACTTTGAAAAGCTTCCCTGACTGTGGTTCTGTGTTTACTTTCTAGTATGCAGTACTCTTTTTGCTGGGTTTGTTTGTGCTGGTCCATCGTGAGTAAGAAGTCTGCCTTGACGTTCCTGGGAAGACGCCGTACTTTTTGTTACTGAATGTTCGGAGTAGATACTGGTCTGCGATTGGCGGAACGGAGAACACACACGTTGGCACTTCTTGGTAGCTCTGGCTTGCATTAGTTTCTGTTTCCACGCCAGAATATGTGTGGGCGGGTGCGTGTGCGCCGTGGAGTGCACTCGAGGGGACTTTCAATCACAGGATTTCATAGTTGTCATTGTCACACTTTCGCATTTTTGTACATCAGTGAATTTTTTATATTAAAAGATTGAGCCAAAGCCCCCAGTGTTTGTATTTTGAAGCCAAGCTTCACTTCTAAAGTGCCTACAGAGTTCTGTAAATGAAAATGCAGCTCTGCACGAGTCTGAAACCGTCATACCTCCTTATAATGGGAATGGCATATACTGAGGTCGTCATAAGTCTTAACTTTTCAAAATTTTAAATAAAAGACTTTGCACATTGAACCCCTTATCCCTGAATTGTGTTTGTCGGGAAAGCTTCTGAAATTTGCCTTTCTTGGCTGGTTCTTAGTACCCCCTGAGGGGATATAAAGGCTTTGGTGTGAATAGTTCTTCAGCTGAGAAGGTTGCCCTAATACTAACACTGTTTTTTTGTTTGGTTTGTTTTGTGAAGCAAAAGTAGCCATTGACATTCATAGGAAATCTCTTAGTCATAAAATTGATTCTTCACTAGGGCGTGACTCAAATGTGTATAAACTCAGCTGGTGTTGCTGAGAGGCTCAGAAAATCTCACTTAGCTGTAGAAACTCATAACCCATTCTACACTTGAGACACTGTCAGCCCTTTCTACACGATGGCAGTGTGTGTTAGCATTGGGAGGAGGCACGATGAAGGTGCTGGCAGGCATTCTACTTGTCTTTATTTAAACTCTAATTTGCCTGAACCTGTTTCCTTAAGTGCCAGGCTTTGCTTTTCTCTAATGCAGACTTAAGGCAGGCAGAGTTTAACGTAATGAATACAAAGCTCAGTTGTGTGTTTTCTTTTTTATAATATTGAGACAGTCAGGGAAATAGGGAGTATGGGGTAAGCCAGTATGTTTTGAGCACAAAATACTCTCAGTTCTATCCTGTTCTCTTCTCGTATTAACATGAAATCTCAAAGTAAGCAAGTTTTCTATGTTGGGCTACATGAACCGTTTCTACTATTTGTTCAGCTAAGCTGGAAATCAATCTATGCTGTAATGCTAAGGGAATGAGATTGGGGACAAGTAACCTTCTGAAGCCCTCCCTGACAGAGAATAGTGCCGTCCCAAATCCATTAACTAGGCTTTAGCCTTCGTAACTTCAGAAAAAGGCTCTTTATGGTCTCAACAGAGTATGAACCTTGGCAAATCACTACTAACAAAAGCTTTTTTGAACCTGTCTGTGAGGCTTGTATAGTACTTACGTTTTCTTTTTTTGTTTCGTTGATTTTGTTTTTTGAGACAGGGTCTTACTCTGTTGCCCAGGCTAGAGTGCAGTGGCTTCATCACAGCTCACAGCAAACTCCTGGGTTCAAGCAATCCTCTTGCTTTAGCCTCCTCAATAGCTGGGACTACAGAGGTGTGCCGACACACCTGGCTGATTTTTTTTTTTTTTGGTAATGTAGAGGTCTCGCTATGTTGGTCAGGCTGGTCGCAAACTCCTGGCCTCATGCAGTTCTTTGCCTCAGACTCCCAAAATGCTGGGATTACAGGTTGTGGGCCACCACACCTGACCTCTGTTTTTTTATGAGCCAAGGAAAGGCTTTAAAACAGTCCCATGTGTGAAATGGCAGAAAAATTACTATTTACTCCATTTTTTTTTCCTCCTAATCACCTGTGGAGGATGGGGTTAACTGCTCAGCCTAATGAGTGCACTGGTTCTGTTTTTGTACCAGCCTTTCCAGGACTGCTCTAGGGGAAAGCAGTGTGCTTTGCTGGGTGCGTTTGAGATCCCAGGATTCTCTTTGATCCTAGCTTGCCTGAGTGTAGAACATCCTTGTATTAATACTTGTATCTCCATCTATCCAGATTTCTCTTCCCTATACACCTGTTAGGAGGAAAACATTAATACTTTCCTCACTTGCGTATTTTCATACCCATTTGTGTAAAAGTATTACTTTTCCTCCTTTGCTGGGCACTCTAGTTGAAAGCAACAGCTAAATTTCTCTGAGAAAGTAGTCAAAGCATTTAAAAACATTTGAATCACTCCATTAGCCAAAAATATTGGGTCATTAAATATGAAATGTCCTATCTCAAATCAAAAGGGTAGTTTATTATATCTCAAACAAGCAGCAATATAATTAATCAAAGTGTGCACCTAAACTATCGACACAGTTTTGCCATCTTAATGGTGGTTTGTTTATGCCAACAGCGACGAAGCCTCGAGAGTGACTGGCAATGAAATTGCAAAAGGTGTTTTCTACAGCTTGTTGAGAATTGAGTATTTTTCCTTACAAGAAGTGGTCCAAAGCCTGGAGGAAGTGGTAGTCAGTTGGTACAAGGTCTGGTGAATATGGTGGATGACAGACAGTTTCCAAGTCCAGCTCCATAATTTGAGCAGCGTTGTTTGTGCGACACGTGGTTGAGCGTTGTCTTGCAGGAGGATTGGTCTGTCTGTGTTGACCAATCTCAGCTGCTTAATCTCAAGCATCCTCGTCATTTCATCCATTGATTGAGGTAGACATCTGCTGTAATCGACTGACCAGGTTTCACGAAGCTGTGGTGGATAATATCAGCACTGGACCACCAACCAGACACCATTCACTGTTTTGATGAATATTTGGTTTTGGATTGTGTTTCAGCACTTCATCTTTATCCAACTATTGTGCCGAATGCTTGTGATTGTCAAAAATAATCCATTTTTCATCACACGTAACAATGGTGTAGAAATGGTTTGCCTTTATGTCGTGACAGCAAAGACAGGCAAACTTTGAGACAATTTCTCTTCTGATGCTCGTTTAATTCATGCAGTACCCATCTATCCAGCTTCTTTACCTTGCCGATTTGTTTTAAATGGTCTAATATTGTTGGAATAGTAACATCAAACCTTGCTGCTAATTCACGCATAAGTTGAGATGGATTCGCTTCCACTACAGCTTTCAGCTCATCATTATCCACCCGGGTCTCAGGTCACCCACTTGGCTCATTTTCAAGATTAAAATCACCAGAATGGAACCTCTGAAACCATCGATGTACTATGTGTTCATCAGCCACATCCCTCCCAAATGTTTCATTAATATTTCGAGATGCTCGTGCTGCATTGGTTCCACAATGGAACTCATATTTGAAAATAACACGAATTTTTTACTTATCTACGGTTTCACAAAAATTGCTCTAAAAAAAAAAGTGAAAGATAATCACAATGCCAAAATGTGCATTTGAAAGTCTGAGGATGTACGTTCACAATAAACATAAAACAAGGAGCGTCAAAGTGAAATGTCAGAGATATCAACTGTCAAACTTAGTACTTAAGGGAATCAGACATTTCATACTTAATAACCCAAGGCAAAGATTATTGTGGGGAGGGGTATTATGTTCCCAGTGTTTTATATCGTCCAGTGCTAAATGTAAGACTTAAAACGGGGATATTTTTAAAGTAAATGTATCTTCAAATACATAAGAAATGCCAGAGAGGTTTAATTTGGTAACTGAATGGAATTATAAGCCCTTTGAGATTTGGCAGGCCTAGTGGGAAGTTGGGAGGGCTCAGCCATTGTGAGTGAAGGGAATTGAAGACGAGCGTGAGAATTGGTAAAACTTGAAATGAGAATTTGATAATGGGTTATCTCTTGGCTATTACTCATCCAATCTGATAACTCCAGCTAATAAATCTCTTCATATTATTTCCAAATGCCTGTCCTCAGCTCTAGTCCCATGTCTCTGTTCCAACTGGACATTTCTATTTCATTGTCCCATCTTTAAACTTAAGCTCATTAGTGATTCCTGCAAACTTCCCCTCTAAATTTCACAGTTTCTGTGAAGGAGTATGAACCTAGAGTTTTCATTTTCCTACCGTTTCTAGTCACTGAGTCCTACATCGCCCCCGGTCATTCCGTTCTCATCGCCATCACCCGAATCCAGAAACGTGCATTCAGTGGCTCCCTGTTGCTCGTGCACCAGTCTCCCTTCAGCGTGCCAGTCTGTGGCTGTTTTAGATAACTACCGCCTGTTAATTAGTATTCATGTGCTTTTTGCTTTCAGAAGTGCTTGTTTGGACCGTAGATTTTGTGTTCACCCTACCTGCTACCTATGTGTGATGTTCAAACTTTTAATTCAGCTAACATTAAGCATCCTTGTGCTATACTCCTGGGTGTTTTCTCTTATATTATCTCCTGCTTTCGTTTCTGCTTGTCTGAGTCTCACCGTCTTCCCAAGCGGTTATTCTTCTACTGTCACTCAGCATTTGCAGCCTTATACTGTTTAAATTTGTGGATATGGCCTCAAGGTCTCCAGATTGTAAACTCTTATAGTGTAGGGGCCCCATTTTACGGACATTGTACTCTGTTTCCCTAGTAGCAACATGTATTATTGTTCAGTCATCATGCATTGGAATCAGAGGCAGTAACTTAGGTTAGCATTGTTACTGAGCTATTATCCTAGGGCAGAGCATATGAATCATTAAAGTGATTTGTGTTTTCCTGTTATTTAGTAAGTGCATTTTCTTGGTCTTGCCAAATTTGAATCTGAAAATGTTCTCTCTTCATAGTTGCAGTTATTTATTTATTTTTTATTTCTTTTAGAGACAGAGACCACCATGAACAGCTTATTTTTTTATTTATTTTTTATTTTTTTATTTTTTGTAGCAAGTAGGTCATGCTGTGTTGCCCAGGCTGGTCTCAAACTCTCAAGCTATCCTCCTTCCTTGGCCTCCCAAAGTGCTGGGATTGTAAGCACGAGCCTCTGTGCCTGGCCCTCCATGGTTCCATTTAAACAACATATACTGGCCGCGTGCAGTGGCTCATGCCTGTAATCCTAGCATTCTGGGAGGCCAAGGCGGGAGGATCACTTGAGGTCAGGAGTTCGAGAACACCCTGAGCAAGAGTGAGACCCTGTCTCTACTAAAAATAGAAAAATTAGCCGGATATGGTGGTGCACACCTGTAGTCCCAGCTACTTGGGAAGCTGAGGCAGGAGGATTGCTTGAGCCCAAGAATTTGAGGTTACTGTGAGCTAGGCTGATACCATGGCACTCTAGCCTGGACAACAGAGTAAAAATCTGTCTCAAAAAAAAAATAAATAAATAAACAACATATACCCTTTCCAGATTTTAAAATGTTAATCCTGCTTTCTTCTTTTTTGTGTGCATCCTTAGACTCTTGCTGTGTCCTCTTTCTTAATGGGAGAAGTATTGGCATTTGTCACTTCTCTTAGGGAGTCACAGGCTTCTCAGAGAGCCAGGGCTTGGAATAGTCTCTGTTATCCTGCCTGCATTTCTTGGTGTTTGCATAAGTGTTTTACCAAGTCCAACGGACCTCAGAACGTGG